ACCGTCAGACTTTGAACTGGACCAGTCTTTGAGTCTTTTTGAACATGTCTCGTTGATTTTTCTGCACGGCACAAGCTGTACAGGAACGACGCAGACGGAGGACCAACTGGTCCTGTCGATGGCGGTGGTCCAGACCTTGAACATGACAGCGCCGCTGGTGCTGACATGGGGCCCATAGCTCTCAGCGAGGCAGCTGAGAGCGAGCTTCAGGAAGCCTCCCGGCTATCGGACGCAGCCGTGGAAGCCATCAGGAGTGGTGAGACCATTCTTATTGACAACTCTTGTGGTGAAGCCACCTCAAGATCCGGGAAAGGGAGTGTACGATTTCAGAACACCCTTGGGATACTGGATGTAGGATCCGTCAAACGGCATGGAGTGAAATGTTTTCATTGTCAGGGGCCTCTCGACAAAGGGCATTTGCGTTTTACCTTTTCACACAGCTGTAAGAAGCCCGCTCGTTCCATCCATGTCAACTGTTTGGTGCAAATGAATGAGCAGCAGCGTGTCGAGTCCGTTGCGCAGTTGCAACGCATGCAGCATAGCACCACTGACCCGGAAGAGCAAAGGGCAGTTTCAGAAGCTTTGAGAGTTCTCCGGCGGGATGGGAATGCTTGAACCTTGTCACTGACTGACTCACTGATATTATTATTACATATTATTGGTTTCAGATTCTTTTGTAATCTGTATAGTTTAACTATTTATTACTTTACTTACTTATCTAATAGAGCAGTCCCATCCCACCAAAATCCATCAGGAGGGGTCTAGCAAGGAATTCATTGCAACATGTATGGTGCATCCCCCTGGCAAGATCAGTCTGAACACAATTTGTTTTAGTCTCCTTCAGTAGTTCTGGGCAGTGAGCGTTTGTTTTGGCAGAAGAACGCTGATCTACTTTCGGCCAGGTTTTGCGCCTTCGGAAGACAGACAGGTTGAGTCGGAGTCGAGCGCAGCGAAAACCGTATGTAATTTTGGCATCGCGCGGCCTGCCTTCAAGGCAAATACAGTACTGTAAATCGATTGTCGATGCGTCGATGACAGTATCGACACTGCCAGACACCACTAGATTTCCTTCTGCGTGGACGATTGCCACCGGCATATCAGAATGGACCAGAAGAGGATGTGGGGCTGGCCTTAATTCCGGGCTATGTCATCAGGGTTTACCGCTTACAGCTGCTCACCTGCAGTTGGTTGAGTGGAATCTCGTAATCTCGCCAAACCAAAGTCAGTTCAGATCGTGGTGCACGCATGTGTATTCCCAGTGGGTTGTGTTTCAAGGTCCAAGCACTATGGAGTGCCTCAGACCAGGACCAGGCTATATTTCATAATGATCGATGAAGAACTCCCCCACGCCGCGAGTGCTTTGGAGCCCTGGCAGCTTACTGATTTGTAGGCAATTTTTCTGAACAGCGTCGCTGTGAATTAAATCTGGCACTCTAGGCTGCAAAAACAGTGTTGCTTTAGCTTGCCGTAGTTTGGATAATTTGCTTCCACCAGCCTTTGGTCCAGGATCGGATTGAAGCACTACTTTATCATTTTGCAAGGGAAATGGAGAGCCGCTGCCCGCCCAGTTTTTCCAATGCCACGCGCTACGCGTTGTCATGCGATGTAGGCGAGCAAGCTCCTTGGCACGCCATCGGGGGGTCAAGACCGGATGTCTGTGATCACAAATTTGGCACTGCTCCAACACCAGTCCGGCACCAGTCGGGCACCAGTCGGGAACCAGTCGGGAACCAGTCGGGAACCAGACCGGGAAGACTACCCGTAGACTAAATTACTACTAAATCAGTACTCCCGCACTGGTTCCGGACTGGTTCCCGACTGGTTCCCGACTGGTTCCCGACTGGTTCCCGACTGGTGCCGGACTGGTGCCGGACTGGTGCCGGTGCCAGATTCATGCCAAAGTGTGGTGGCAGATTGGGGTGGCTGGGGCAGAAGTGCCAGACTGGCGCCGGATTTGCTACGTGTTGGGTAGTGGCAGTGGTGCCACTTGTGATTAAACCAGGGCCTGGGTCTTTTGACGACGGTGACTGACGGACTCCTGACTCCTCACACTGACGGAGAATTACAGAATAAAATAAAATTTAACGAGAATAGGAGGAGGAGTCGAGGAGGATCAGCTGGACCGACTGACTGACTGACTGACTGACCTGACAGGTCCTCTCAAGGTTTGATCTTTTAAATCGGAACTGATGCTTCTCAAGTTCAATCAATTTGCCATGCATTGTTGCCGCAATCCTGAACAGGATGAATGGAGGACGAGGAGGGAGGTGAGGAGACGAGAGAAAGAGAAAAGCAGCGCTCGTGACCAGCAGTGGTCTAGGCCGCCGCCTAGTTGGCAGTTGCGAGGAGCAGAAGCGTTCCCTACGCTAGAAGCCGAGCCGCCGCATTAACGGCCTTCACTCTTGAGACTTCGTCAACTTAAGGTCTGTGCTGCAGCGGCGCCAGCGCCCAAGTTCCAAACAGTGAGGCGTTTGGCAGCGGCACCCTGCAGTGGCACCAGCGCCCAACTTACAAAGCGCGCGTGTCCACACATTTGGCAGCAGTACCCTGCAGCGGCATCAGCAGGCCCCAAAGTGCACACAGGCAACTCTTCAGACTTCCCAGTGGCATTTTCCACTGGATTGGCCTACAAAAAAAAGACCCCCACAAGTCCGGTTTTGAAGGGGAAAGCCCACTCATGATCACCCGGCCGCCCACCCATCAACGTCGGAGCATCGGACCATCGGATCATCGGA